TGTGTGTGTGTGTGTTTTGGGGCTTTTTCACCACAGAAGAAGAAAACTGTTTATTGTTGTTGTTTTTTTTCTTCTGCTGCTGCAGCAGGAGAGAGAGGGCGGGCGAGCAAGCTGCATTACGGCTGCGTCTGTTTAGATTCACCAACAGAAGCTGGTACGTGTGTGTGTGTGTGTGTGTGTACGTGTGTACGTGTGTGCGTGTGTGTGCGTGTACGTGTGTGCGTGCTGATTGATTATCTATTGGCTCTGTTGGTTGTTGTTGGATGTTTGTTGACTGGACTTAAACAGCCGATCACTGTAACTGTTGATGGATGTTTTAGATGGAGTGACAGTATTGATGGTTTTAATAATTGTCTTTGTTATTGATTAACCAGTTATTCAGCATCCAGTATTTACTTTCATTGGTGATTAGATCGTGATTACTTTTGGCTAATTGATGAATCCTTAAAGCTAACACAGTAAACAGAGAACAGCTGCTGTTGTGATTGATTATTGTTGCCGATTGCTTCTCTGTAGATAATCGATCAGTTAGGTCAGGGGTTCCCACCAGGGGTCGCCAGAGCTCCGCAAGGAGTCGCAAGACCTTATTGATCTTAAGGGGTGTAAGAAAACGTATAGTATACGCGGTAGGTGGATATCTCAACATTTGGTTCATTTCTGTGAAGAAAATGAAATTGTAATTTGGTACAAAAGTTTATGTTATTTAAGATATAAAGTAAAAGGAGACAGTAAAGACCTGAACATGAGATATATTCACAGATCCTTCAGTCGCTGCTCAACAGCCAAAGAGCTCATCGAACAATGAAAGAAAACACTGAATCTGTCAGTATTGTTTGTGTGATTGTTTTAAAACTGAATCTGTGATCAATATTCACACACATTTCCTGCAGTTAGTGTTCACAGTTAGGGTTGACTGTCAGGATTAGTGAGGAGCTCCAGTTAAACCTCAGCAGCTGAGAATCAATAACTCAGACGTCAGATTCACAATATTTCAATCAGAATCTCTTATTTATTTGATCCTCCTGCTGATATTCTGCACATTTGCTGATCAGATCATTTCAACATTTATTGTGTTAGTTTGAATCCTGTCGTTAATCTGACAGCTCGAACTAAACTCTAACGTGGACGTCGCGAACCATCTGAGTGTCTGTCCATCATTCTCTCAGTTAATTGATTAGTTGTTTGCTTCATAAAATGTCATAAAATGGTAACAAATGTTTCCCAAAGATATTCAGTTTACTACTGTCGGAGGACTAAAGAAACCGGAAAATCTTCACATTTGAGGAGAAATCAGAGCTTCTGGACATTTCTTTACTAGCTGACTGACGGCTCTACAGCAGACAGAGGCGTCATGAACCCTCTGATTTCGGGTGCAGGCAGCAGACCTGGTCCGACGGGCAGCCAGTCTTTTTAATCTCTCTGATATATGATCTCCACGTGGCTCTGCAGTCTGTCAGAACAGCTGCTGACCGGCTGCTGTCTGTTTTTGTTCTCCTGTCTGTCTGGTTCAAGTACGGAGGGCAGGGTGGGACAAATAACTTTAGAAACCCAAATTTAGTTTGATTTAATTTAAAGGAAGTGAATGATTTTAAGAAAATAACAATAAATATTTTAAGATGTCGACCAGTATGCCGACTTTTATACTCGGACCTTATTGTCCGCTGCTGAAGCTCTCGTCCACTTTAAGGTCAACTGTTACGGAGCGGCTGTCACAATATCACGGCTAATTATGAAGTAATATTTACACTGTTACACTGGACAGACGAAGGACGTCCCTGGGGGGGCTGCGAGCCGAGCT